TATGTTAGCAAAATATTTTGCTTGATAAAATTTATTAATTGCGGCTGAATCAGCCTCTAGATTAAAAAAGACGAGGAAATTGCCTGTTTGGCAAGTTTGTTAATTTGGATAATATAGTCATCATGTAGCTTGAGAAATCTGTTAGTCATGACTTTTGATTGAAGTTTTAATGTATTCAGCTAGCACAATACAAAATTGAATTCTACCTTCATGGAATTTTAATATATAAATCTAGTTTCCCATTCTCTTTTATTTTTGGAGGTTTATGAGAAAGAAAAACCAAAAAATTAAGTATATTAAATGATTCAGTAATACTCATTTGAGGAATATTGTCAGTTAATCAAACATTTTTATTGTCCAAATCAATGCATCCAGGATTGCAAAAACAAATTTGAGGGCTGTGATTGAGTACCATTCTAACACCTTCCTTCGCTTAGATTTTATAGTTCTATTTCTACAAAAGAAATGAAATTTTCAAAAGATGGGATCAACATTCAACAAGAAAATATCATTACCAGCCCTTTTGATAAGCATTAAAAAAAAAAAAGGTTCAGGGTCAAAAAGAAAATAGGAATTGAGGGGGATAAAGTGAAAAATGAAGCACATAATTTAACAGTTTTATAGCCTCTAAAAATGTTTGAGCCATATTCAACTCCAAATCTTTCACATCCGACATCCTTTTCGAACACCGATTAATAAAACTACTCAAAGATTTACCTGTCTATAATCTCATTAATGATTTCTAAGCACATGCGAATTGTATCACAGATATTTACTTGAAGTTATCAGACATATAAGCATCATAGGACTGATTACTTGAAAGTCATGAAAAAGAATCTACATTCAATACATCGTTAAAATTTTAGTAATGAAATTGCTTATTCAAATATGGAAAATGATCAAAAGGATTGATCTTCCCTTAATAAGAATCAACCATCAGAATCTTAAACTTAATAAAAGGTTTTTGTTTTGCAGTCACTATTGAAAGAGCATCCATGAATTTTGACTGCTTTTTTTTTTTTGTTTTTGGGTAATAGGAGGAAAAAGGAAAAAAATCCTTCTTAACAATAAGGTTAGTTTGGTCTTCACAAGGGTTGAGAGTAATGCTCTAATTCCTATATGAGCCTTCTCCCAACAAAATGAAAAGATCAAGTTAGGGGTGTCAAAATTGATCTGCATGCCAACACCACTGGGACTCAACTCGAAAAATTCAATTTAGGGTTGAACCAAATATTTTTCGAGTCAGGTTCGGGTCAGAGAATTTAACCCATCTATTATTTGATTCGGGTCGAACCCAAAAACTCAACCATAACCTAAATAAGCACGAAAGTGGCTCGAATTCAAGTTAATGGGTCACGCTCAGTTTTGGGTATTTATTTTTTGACATGTTTGTTATTCGGTTTGGGTTTGCGTTCTCTATTCGGATCGGGTCATTTTCGGGTCCGACCACTAACCCGAATTGACACCCTTAATTCTTGTTGATAACTCCACGTGACGTGTTACCCTTGGGATTTGATCCAACTCATTTAGATCATCCATGCCAAATAGTAATAATAGTAGTGCATTCCTCAATTGTTCTCCATGCTCAATAAGTCTTTTATGTTATTTTATCCAATTTTGCATAACAACCTAACAAAATTCATGCTCATCGTACCTTTAAAAGTAGCCTCGACAAAAATGACTCAACAATCACAATGAATAGTTTGAAACTTCTATGCTATATAATTGACTACATTTATGCTTTTTCCAAAAATAAAATACAAAAATCTTACATCACAATGTATAGCTTGAAAAGTTCACTTCATTATGAAAATTACTTAAATTAAAGCGAAGTGATTGTCACATGAAAGCAGCCAATTGAAACGATGGTTTTGTTACATCAGCAAATCAAGTCATTACACAGGCAGAGTAAACATGGGAGTTGTTATGTCATCACATAGCTAAACATGCGTGTCGTTATGATCTCATCAGTTCAATCTATCACACATATTCAGCCGCCATAGCTCTAACTTGAACTTTAGCCTTCTAGGTCTTTGGTTATTACAAGTTAAACAAATATTTCCATCATGTTTCATTAGACCTAAGCAATATTTTGGTAGAGTCCATATGATTTCAACTAGCCAGAACTTTTGAGTGCGGCTGTGAACTAATCCTACCACCAACTGCAAATAAACTCTTGACAAATTCAACCTAATAATTGAGATAAAATTTTAAAACATATCATAATCATAAAAGTTATAATATCGCGCAATAATACTACTAAAGCAGCAAAAATAACAGCAGAAAATATTTCCTATATTATTTAAAATGGATTGCCTACATCACATTTCTACCACTTACTATAATAAACTTCTCCTATTACAATCCTGTCATGGATAACTCCAGCAACAGAAAACAATCCGCATATTAAAAAGAATTAACCCTCGGCTTCCCTTTCTTTGCAGAAGAGAAACGGTATGTATTTTATTAACCTAAAGATAAATATAAAGATCAAATCAAATTCACCTTCCCTTACCATCATCACAGCATGAAGCAGCCACCTGCTCCGCTTGAAAAGGAAGCAACTCCCCTGCGCGGCAGACACGCTTGAGCTCATTAAACCTGCAGAGATCAAAATTATGGGCCTTCATGAGCTGCTTTTGCTTGGTGGCAAAGCGGCTTTTGAAGAAGCCTTCAAAGGAAGGATCTGTGGAAGTCCTCATGAAGAACCCGTAGCCGGCCATGAAGTAGATGGAAGTAACGTAGAAGCAAATGGGTTCCATGACATCCCAGGAAAGCTCCCAAAACGTGAGTCGCATGAAGCCGGCTGTTTGAGCTGCTAGGAAAGCAAGGCCGCACCATAATTCTTTTCTTACTTTCGCCTCTGCCAGCTTGTCGATCATGGCCTTCTGCTGTTCCAGCTTTCTCAGCTCTTGCTCCCTCTGGTCATGCAGAGGGGAGAGAGAAAGGGGGATTGCCCGCTCGATTGCTCTAGCTACCTGTAGCAGAGGAAGACTAAGAGAAGGGAAAAAAGATGGGATTTCTCATCATCCAGTGTTCTATGGATAATGATAGTTCATATCCTTGAGAATATGATTACATTTTTTTTTTAATTTTGTATTATTCATCTAACAGGGAATACACAAATATAGAACAAGAAAAGATAACATGGAGAAAATTGATGATTTTAATCAAATAAATAAAGTAAAAGTAAAAGCCCTTATAAAACCAAGGAATGTAGGGATATCTAAAATTCATTATTTCTTAAATTCTCACTCAAATATCAATACTCATAAAACCGCCAACCCATGTTTTTCATTTTTATCAAATTCTCAATGGTTTGATCATGGCACACATAAATGCATCAGTACATAAATATCATGGCACACATAAATGCATCAGTTTGGTAGCTCAAAAAAAATCACCTGGGTGTTAGTTTTATAAATAGATATGTTTCAAGTGCTGAATATGAGATTGCCCCAAAGAATAATAATAAAGTTTAAAGCTAGATCTTGTGAAACTAGAGGCATATCATAGAGGAATAAGAAACAGCATGCTTGAAATAGGAGAACCAAAAAAAAATACATTATCAATACTTATGCTTCTAATTCGAAATAAAACAAATCATCAAAAAACTAACAAGGGGCATTAGCCTTTAATCTTGGTCAGTAAATTTTTTAAAGAAAAAAATAAATAAAATTGAGGTTAAACTTGTATCATTCACCATGCTATATAAAACAAAATTGAAAAATGAAAATAATTATGACATCAAAATCTGAAGACTATAAAAACTGATCTAAACGTCGGTGGACGGTAGCTTAGTAATCAACAATAATCTGCACATTTCTGACAAAATGCGTATTACTGGTTGTTTAATAAATTAGACAAATTCATGCACTTTTTAATATTATAACTTTATAAAACATAACATATAAAAAAATACATGTTAAATGATGCATAAACCATTTAACCAATTGAAATTTTTAATATTAAAAGAGTTCTTTGGATCGCAGCATGACTCAGCTTATCACTTTGATAAAAGAATGATTCTACTTTAAATATTCCTCATTCCAAAGCCGGCCAAGGAATTAGCTTTATTAAGAAGTACGACTAGTTTCCAAGATACTTGGCTTAAATATTATTATATTATTAAAACAAATAATTAATTAGTTATTAAGAAAAGATGTAGCTTTTTAAACACAAATTTATGCACACCCATAATATACAAATGTCAAACCTTCAGCCGAACCTCCCAATCAATTTTCATCAACATCCCACTATCTGTAATAAGCTAAGAGTATCAATTCACCAAAACTAACCATCCCACATTAGTAAAGGTATAAAATTGGTATTTCCACATTCAATACTTCATATAACAATTAATATTGCGGGTTGATATCAATCTGATTAGAAAAAGAAGTAATATTTTCCCAAGTAGTAAATCCACAAAGAAACAGAAAGTCTGCTCCCACTCATTTTTCCAGAATTTTCTAGCATGCAAAAATTGTAATAGGTAATATAAATATATAATTAAGGGGATGAAAAGTCAAAATACTAATTTTGCATCACAAAATTATTGATAGATTAATTTAAATTTTATAAATCAGTACATTATATATATATATATATATATATATTAAAAGCCCAAGGGCTGATATATTAAAGAAAAATGTATGGGGTAGAACAGGTAATTGGGCAAAAGATGTCGCTAATTCTGGCCTGAGGTCTCTCCACCCTTGGCTATCATTTTCAAACGGAAACCTTCCATTCTTCCTGTAGAGAGAAAATCATAGAAAGAAAACAAGGGAGGAAAACAAGATCAGACCTCGGCGATCCAAGACTGAAATTCGAGCTTCAAGGAAATAAAAAATTTCTCAATCATTCTCACATTATAAGAAAGCATTAAGTAACAAAATAAAGCAAATTTAAGGATTTCGATCTCCACCTGATCGGGCTTGAGAAAAACGACGTTTCCGATAACAATTACCGCCGCGGACTCATCCAGAGACCGAGCGAGCTTCGGTCCCTGCTCCTCGCTCGAAACCTCGCAGCAGATCCGCAAGAATTCCGATAAAGACACGAAGCTCTTTGGATTCTCCCTTAACCTCGACCTGACCAATTCCATCTGCGACGCCTTGAGCACTTTTCTCACCTCCTCCATCGTCATTCCCATCGCACCTCGTTTCTCCTCTTCCCCCTCAACAGAAATCGGATGAGGTGAAGATAGAATGTCTCTCCGTAAATGGTAACCGCTAGGCTCCGATATCCGATCGAAGAGCTTCACATCCAAAGGCATCCAGATCCGGTCAGGCGGCACCGCTTCCTGAAAAATGGGCCTCCACAGGATCCAACGATTGCCCGAGTCCGGTAATAACCTACGAAAAACTGAGCCCCGTGCTTGCGTACCGGCATCGCCGGCGCCGGACCTAATCTGCACGGAGTAGTTCTTCACGGCATCAAGTAAGCGGTGAGCTATCGATTTCCCAAACGCCATTGCTCTGATTTTATTCGCAATAGAAGACGAACCAGACAAAAAGATCCCGTAGGGTTTCGAATTTATAAAGAAAGCCGATGTTCGGTTTTATGCCGATATACTCACAAAATACCGCGCTATTTTGAATTAACCGCGTTTTAAGTTACGATCCATCTCGAATATTCTTTTGTTCTGGCCACAATATGTAGCCGCACGCGCGCCACGAGAAAGGTTAAAAAAGCATCTCGCGCGATACGAGAGCGTGGAGAGATGGATGAGAGGCTCGTAGACAATGGAATCCAGGTATCCGTCCGATCCCCATCGGACGGATAGATGAATTATTGCAGCTGTTAGATTTGTTTTGGCCGAGTTTTTGGGTAGCAAATCGCATTGAGAACAGATTCTTCGCCATGCGTTGATCTGATCTGTTAGATGATGACACGTGGCTATTTATGTGACTCCGATTTCGTGGTGGATGACGTCAATGGATTTTAGCATGCCCAATTTTCTTTTTTTTTTTTTTCCTTTTTTTCAATGTGGCCAAAAAGATTAGACACGTGAATGGAGAAGAGAAGATGTTAATCATCTAAAATATCTCAAACTATTTTTGGCCATCTAAAACTTATTAATATTATCTTCATAAAAAAAAATCCAATTTTTATGATGATAAAAAAATCAATATATTTTTCTTGAATCATATTAGGAGATAAATTTTAAATTTAATGATTTATATTTAAACATATTACAATTATAACAATTAATTATACTTTTAGATAAATGATGACTAATTAATTAAAATTTAATTCCTTATCTCAAAAAAAAAATTTTAAAGAGAATTTAAAGTATAACTAATACTCCAGATTGCAAGAAAATGGATAGGTAATCAAGAGGAACTAATTTTGAAGTGAATTAGTTAGCTAAATCTATATTTTTTTCAACGTTTTCATAGTTCTAACACTGCTTGAGAAGTATTCATGAACTCCTATGGCATCAGATTACTCATTTAGACATCTAATCACAACTCATAAACCTAACTATCTAATACTCACTCATTTATCAATATTATTTATTCATTAACATTTCCTACCCCTTTAAACAATTTATTTTTAAACTTTTTACTATAATAGGTATAATACATTATAATGAAAATGGGACCATCACAAGTCATCTTCAAGTTGTCAAAACCTTTGTCAAATTTCATGACGAAGCTATTAATAAAATAGGATAGGTCTATAGCCAAGTTAAGATCGATTCCAAAAATTAAAATTAGTTTTTTAAATGGCATCTTCCTATATCAAAAATTGATTGAATTAAATTTATGATTTCTTTCAATATTTTTAAAATTTTTGATTTAATGCTTTTGGACCATACATGTTAGGCTATAGGGAAAATCCATAATTTGGACTAATATTAAGATAAGAAAAATCTTTCCAAAAATATTCATTTAATTTAATTTGTTTTTTTAGAATTTTAATTTGAGATTTAATTATTCCTCATTAAATTTAAGTATGAAAAAGGGATTCAAATCACAAAATTTCATTTTGAAAATTTAATATGGAACTTATTGGATATGAAACCATTATAAGACTTTAGATTCTAAAAAAATTTCGGATGAGAAGACATGTTTTGATATCTAAAGGGTGCTTTACCAGTGTAGGCTTTATCAATGCAGAGAGGACCAGTTATTGAGATTTGCAAAGGCCTGTCATCAGATCCTACAATGGATAGATGTGTAATATTGGTGTTAAGATAGTTGCTTATCCAACAATCATTAGCTAAAAATCTATCCCGCCTCTCCCATAATTTGCCCGTTCTCCAAGTTAATTTGGCACCTTGGTACCCTGAATCATGTAGGCTAGCTTATTAAATATTATTATTGAATCTGGTGATGGTATTGAGATCAGGTGGACTGGCACCCTTTTTTTAGTAGGTGAAATGATGCAGTTGAAGTCCCTATCAATAATGCAACCTGTTGACATGGATTGGCTAACTTGAATCAGCTCCTTTCAGAGGCCTTTCTGGTCAGCTTTAGTGCAGCCAACATACACAAAAGTAGCAGTACTGGTCTTCCCATCAATGTTAAAATCAAGATGAACAAATTGAGGGTGGTTAATCAAGATAGACCAGGTGACTTCCTTCTTGAAAAAAATCTAAAATTTGTTATGTGTATTGACAAAGTGTTGAAATCGAGAGAGCTTTTGATAAATTTTTGTGGGTATTTAGAGATCATAGGTTCCAAAATGGCAATGCACCAAAATTTATGCATCCTATTGAGTTGGAGGAATTTGTTAAGGAAGTTGAGATTTGCAAGTCCCCTAACATTCTATCATAGAAGTTTAATCATGATGAGTGGATTTTCTCCTCCCTCTAGTTCTAGGGTAGGAAACTAGTAGAGAGTAATAAGAAATTTGGTTGTCATCTTGAGGGTTTTTGTATTCAAGTAATCCTTTCTTTTTCTTCTTAGTTTTCTGAATTTTCTATTCTTTTTCGAGAGCATGTCCCATATGCTCAATTAGAAGATCTTCAATGGAGCATTAGCTTGAGGTAAGCTATTTTGAGATTCTACAATTTTCTGACTATTTTCTATTTCGACAGTGTGCTCTAGAATACTCACATTTTGTAAGTCCTTTTCCCTGCTTGGTTCACCGCACCCCATGTCAGAGCCAATCTATGCAGGTAAACTATCCATATTAGGATTGGTGACAACTTTCAACTCATCAGGGGGATTAACATTTGTATCAATGATCCATTTTAAAATTACGTATTTTATATGGACATGTTATACCCATTTTTTATGATATTATGCTTTAAAGAAAGGTATTTTGTGTGTTTTTGGTTACAGGTACAAGAAAAAGAGTTTAGAGCAAAAAGGAGCAAAAATATATCAAAAAGAAGCAAAATGGACCGAACTAAGAAAAATTATCAAATCTGTCGAACTGGCGCCTAAGCTCCAGATAAAGATCGCTGCTGGCGCTTAGGCGCGACATTTTTGGCGCCTAGGCTCCAGAGTCAGTTTCTAGAGATTAATTAAATGAGGAAAAATTTTGAAGAGATTTTTGAAGCAACCCTTGATGGTTTTTGAAGCTCTATAAATAAGGTCTAATTCTAAACATGAAGGGAGAGTTCTAGAGTCATTTTAAGAAGGAGAGGCACCCATATAGAGTGGGCGGCCACCTTAGGGAGGTTTTGTAAGTCTTTGTGATTTATGGATTTTGTTGAGTCTTGTAAGAGTTTATTGGAGTCATAGAAGTCAAAGAACTTCAAAGTAGTGATTGGGGAAACATTTCAGATAAGTGTTTGTATCTTTTTCTTTAAGTATTGTACTTTGGATTTGAGTTTTAAAAATATATTTTATTTTGTTATCCCCATGTGCATGAGTTGTTTTTCTGAGTGGTTTTCTTCTTTCTCCTTGCAATATGAAGTAATCAAGTGGTGGTTTTGATTTTTTTTAGAACTTCTTTTATTTCAAAATTTTGTGATGATATTTTACACGGTCCTTCATTTACTTTACAAATTGCTCATTTGTATTAAACTTAAGGACCCCAGAGGGCTAAGATTTCTCTAACTCCTGAGTATCACATTTCTGAATTTTCGAGGGGTGTTGGCACTATTTTAGGTTGTGGAGTTGCCCGTTCGAAGCTGTCGGCCGCTAGAATCGAAATCTTGTTGCACGCTTCGGAAGAACGTTTTAAGTTACATATACATATATAAGTTTTAGAAAAATATGGAATCAAACTGAACCCATATTTTTTCATAGTTTAAATGAAAGAGTGTTGTACCTCAAGCCCTGTATCTATCCCGAAGGATAAACACAAAACTTGAGAATGAGGCTCGATCAAATAAACTAAGAAATACATGACATCCATTTGATCTGTGAAATCGTTTTATTTGCCGACAATTTCCCCTATTTAATATAAAAAAATTAAATAAGGTTTATATTAAGCTGGGTTCGAACAAGCTTCCTATAAGGACAAGCTCCTATAGTTACTTACATCTTAGATAATCGAAGCCACTTAAGAAAACTCTCGATAAAAATCAGGAAGCATTATCTTCAAGGAGGTCAAAGAATAGGAATTTTCAATGATATTAGACAAAGAGGTGTGAAAAGAGATTAGCTCAAATTTGAAACATTTATTGTAGAATCCAAAGGAGGAAGAACTAGGGGATGTCATAGATCCAGAGGAGATCCTATTGTTTGGCTTCAGTTTTGAGGAGAAATTATTTAAGTATTTTATCCTGCATATTTTATTATTTTAGGGCCTACATTTGTGCGAAACGATCACACAAATAGCCTGGAAGATGTGAAGATTTAGGTCGTGACGGACGACAACATTAGAATCCTGACGACAACGGTCGTGACGGACGACAACATCAGAATCCTAAGGCAAGTTAGGGATTATATTGTATAGCAGAGTTGTACGAAGACCTAAAGATGAGGTGAGGATTGATGTTGCATAAGTAGACAACCTCAAAATCTTATGGCTTGATTGTTTAATTCCAAGGAAGGAATTGGTTTAACAGGGGAAGACATGTTTTGTTGTTGAAGATGGTCGTGCTGCCCACCATGCTAGCACCAAGCTCCTTGTCGTGACGTGTTTGTGTTTTGTAGTGTATCAAGTTATGATGTCAAATCAGATGACCCTATGATTGTAGTTCTTTAAAAGATTTATGGGGGCATGTTAAAGTTGATTAGAGCGACACCGGTTAGGATCCTATGATTCCCTCATTCTGGTACCTCTATTTTCTATTGGATTCACTTAGTCCAAATGAATTTACTAAACTCAACTTAATGAGTTCCATAACTTCATTTAGACCGTGGGAAGCCTCGTTAGCAACTGTAGGTTACCTCCTTCGCGGGATTCCCGATCATCCAATAGAGACGTCTTAATTTAGTTGTAGTTAAGATTTTTTATGATGTTTGTAATTAAATTTTGTGTTTTATATTTTGAATGTTGTGGAGGGTGATTAATTTATCTTGGTTGATTTTAGTTTTAGTTTTGGTTTTGGTTTTGTGGCTATCCTGATAATTTTAGTTTTCATGCACGGTGGCGTCGTTGTTTAGCATGCAAATTTGTAG